CATCCCCAACCCGGTGCTGGAACATGAACGTCCCTCCAGGCTCCCTCTGGACGTCCACTGTCCCGTCCTGCCTGCGCTTCTCGGCCCGAGCCGCTTGTGGGGCCCGAGAGACCAAGGGCCTGCGCCACCCCAGCGGTGCCCTGCCCTGTGGACACCCTGTGGGGCTGTGGCGCCCGCAGGGAGCTGTCTGGGAAGGGGCAGTGTGGCCCCTGCCGGGTCTGTGCCAGCGCTCTGGGGCAGAGCAGTGTTAACCTTTGTCTTGCTGATGGGCGCTCTCCCCTCCCCGCAGCCCCGAGACCATGCGAATGGCCCGTGGGGGCAGCTCGGGTCTCCTGAAGTGCGGAAAGGGAACGACATACGAGGGCGGGATGCGGGAGCCTGCGGTGGCTTATTGGCCGGGCCGGATCTCCCCGGGTAAGCCTGGCGTTGCTCCCAGCTGCTCTGCGGTGCCTGGCGGTGCTGGCGCACGGCAGCAGGACCTGGGCCTACCTCTGCCCGGACGCCCGTCAGTCTCCACACGGCCTGGGAGGCGCCTGCGATGGACAGGCTGAAACTACAGATTTGGGGGGGCTGTGCAGGCCCCAGTGGGACCGGCCCGCCCCACACTCCTGCTTGGCGTGCGGGGGAGATGACCAGGGAGTGTGCGGGGCTGGCAGGGCAGAGGATCCAAAGGCCTCAGCCCTGTGGAGGGGAAACATGGTGGGGGGGAACAACGCGTGCCTATGGCTGGGTGGTGTCCGTAGGGGGATGAATCCCCCTGTCCCAGGAGGTTGGGGGGGCCCTCCTGGGTGAGGGAGGGGCTCTGGGGGCGGCGGTTGGACAGTGGGGAGGAGGGTGCCAGCGGGCTCGTGGGATATCGCTGGTGTGAGGCAGGGGACTGACGGCACCTGAGCCTTTTTCCTTGTGACTGTGGCCGGGCGCCAGGCGTGACCCACGAGATGGCCAGCACCCTGGACATCCTGCCAACCTTGGCTGCCCTGGCTGGGGCGCCTCTCCCCCCTGTCCCATTGGACGGCTACGACCTGAGCCCGGTGCTGTTTGGAGGTGGGAAGGTGAGTGCCCTGGGCCAGTGCTGCTGCGGTCACACTGCGAGTGTGGGGGTTGATGTGGGGGCGGGGGGCACCAGTGTCTGACGGGCTGCCCTTGCCAGTGGGTGCTCCGCACACTGCTGTGGAGAGGGGCGGGCCGGGGTGTCCGTGACTCAGGGGCCCTCTTCACTGCAATAACAAATGCAGCACCGAGTCAGCCCTGGTCAGCTGGCACGGGCTCCTGGGGCTTGGGCTGCGGAGCTCTGAAACTGCAGTGTCGACATTCAGCCTTGGGCTAGAGCCCGGGCTCTGAGACCCCATCCCGTCTCCTTCCTGCATGGCCACTGGCCCGGCACCTGGCCCGGCCCAGCCATGGCTCACTGCCACCCCGTCCCGTCTCCTTCCCTGTCTATGGCCACTGGCCCGGCTCCTATCCTGTCCTGTCTCCTTCCCTGTCCATGGCCACTGGCCCGGCCATGGCTTAGTCACTGCCCTTCCCTCCCCATGCATGGCTCGGCCACTGCCCCGCATGACTCTGCCTCTGGTTGCTCGCAGAGTCCCCGGCAGATGATGTTCTATTACCCGCCCAGCCCCAGCACGCTGCTTGGCGTCTTTGCCGTCAGATACGGGAAGCACAAGGCTCATTTCTTCACACAAGGTAGCTACCTCCATGGGGGTGGAATGGGCAGCCCCCGCTCCCTGCGTCCTTTTCAGGGCTCTGGTTGTGGTTCCAGCCCAGCCCTGGGGACCCCGGCTGAGGGAAGGTGGCTTCAGCTGCTGTTTGCATTTGTCTCCCAGGTGCCTTCCACAGTGGGACGACCCCCGACCCGGACTGCCATGGGCTGACGCCCCTGACGCCCCACGAGCCTCCACTGCTCTTTGACCTGGAGGCTGACCCTGCCGAGAACTATAACCTGCTGCAGGGTGGTGCCGTGGGGCCAGAGGTGCTGCGGGTGCTGAAGGAGATCCAGCTGCACAAGGCGCTCTTCGACCAGCGCATGGAGTTTGGGGAAAGCCAGATAGGGAAGGGCATCGACTCTGCCCTCCAGCCCTGCTGTGCCCCCGGCTGCACCCCCAAGCCCTCCTGTTGCCACTGCCCCTAACTTCCCCCACCCTTTAACTCTCCCCTCGCCACTGCCAGGAACCCCCCGCTCTTCGAAAGCCTCCTGCTGCTGTGCCCATCTCTCTGCTGCCACTCCCTAAAGTCCCTGCACCGGCCTCCCCGCTGCTCTCCCCAAACCTGCCTGCAGCCAGGCGCGCTGCGTTGGGGTGCTTCCCTGGCCGGTAGAGCTGCCTCCCGCTCCCCAGGCCTGACGCTGAGGTCCCTAGGTGCTGGCTGCATGGGGGCGTGGGGTGAGATGCTAGGAGGGGAAGGGGCAGGTTCCTGGGGGGGTGTTTTACCTCTGCACTGGGAGTCTTTGGCCATTTGACACAAACCTCCGCTCCCCTGGGACGCACTGAGTACAGTGAGCCCTCTGGAGTCCAGGGGGCTCTGGAACAAAGCAAAGGACCCGCCCTCAGAGCCTAGCACCCCAATGCAGCCAGCGGGGGGCCCGGCAGTACCAGCCTGCTGCAGCGGGAAGGCCAGGGAGTGGAGCGTGGCTCGCTCTGCGGGGCTGGCACAGCAGTGAGGGCCAAGGCCGTATCAATACTGGCGCAGAGGTGGAGTGTGGGGTGCGAGGCCAGGATCAGGGCCAGCAGCAGCAGCCGCAGTGCTTGGCCCTGAGCATGTGGACGGGGGACTGACGGGGGACTCTGCAGTCAGGAGAGGAGCTGTGCAGAGCTCCGGGGTAGGTCCCTTCACCTGCGTGGATGCAGCCAGCTGTCGCTGTGGGAGACGACTTGTGCTTGTTTAAAGGGTGAAATAAGGAGAAATGAGTTCATGGAGTGGCTGCCCTCCAGGCTCAGCTGGTATTTGCAGTCTGTGGGCAGGTGTGACCTGGGCTGTGTGCACCGGCGGGCCAAGGAGCCAGGGTTCCCACCCAGAGCTGATGCAGAGAAGGCCTAGTCCTGAGCCCCCTCGGCAGAGCTCCCGCCCGGGGAGTGAGAGCCGTGAGATGAGCAGTGTAGGCCCAGCCAAGGAGGGCCTAGGGCAGCTGCTTGGGATACCCAGGGGAGGAGGTAGCTGCTGGCATCCTGCAGAGAAAGGCCAAGTACAAGCTATGACGCTGACATGCCCAGACAGGCGTGTTACCCCTCCGGCTTTACCAGCTTCTCAGTGCTTTACCGAAGGGAGGGGCGGGGGTTCATGTGTGGTCACTGCTGAGCTAAGCTTGATTGTCATGGGTCTTGCAGGACGTTTGTACGGGAAATATTCTGAGATGTCAAGTGTTAAATATTGTGTTCCACAACCACTGGGGCAGAAGCACATCGCCTGTGGTGGGATGGGTCTTGGCACACAAGAGTGAGACCAATCAATGCTTTCCAATCCAGCTCAGACATGTGTTTACAGTCTGGACCGGATCCAGGCCGCAGCATTGACAAAGACAAAAGAACCCTGTAACGGGGTTGGGGACTCACCACCGCGGCGCCTCCTACTGGTTACTCCGGGAATTAGCTCAGTCCAGTGGAGCGTCCCCTCTCGGTGGTATCCCGCCCGTTGTCTTGCCCTCGGTTGGCTTCTGAGCCCACGTTGCTCACCAACTCGCAGCGTCCTCTTCAGGACCACTGCCCTCCGGCAGTGCCCCTTAGTCCATCCACACCCCCTTCCGGGGGGGTGTCAATCAGCAGTCTCTATGTCCAGCCACCGTGGTCAACCACACACCCCAAAGTCTAATCCTTCCTGTCAGGGATCTGGCATGGTCTATAATGGCCGCTCCCTATGGCCAATGGCTGGGTGTACTGCAAGGGGGGGACCCAGGCCCACCCTCTACTCTGGGTCCTGGCCCAGGGACCCTCTGGCAGCAGCCTCGCTGTCCTCCTTCTCTTCTCTCCATCTGTCCACTTCCCTGGGCCATTTCCCCTTCAGCCCCTGGCACTGGCTAGGCCCTTCCCGTCAGGGCCTGCAGCCTGGCAGACACCGGGCTGGAGTTCCTTTCTGCTCCCCCAGGCCTGCCCAGCTCTGCGCTGTCCATGGTGCTAGTCTCCCACCTCTGGAGACAGAAAGCCTGAGACAGACTGACTGCTCTCTCCCTGAGCAGCCTTTTATAGGGCAGAGCCTGGCCCTGATTGGCTGCCTCCAATCCAGGCCCTGATTGGCTCCCAATAAGCCCTTCCCTGATTGGCTACCCATCTGCGCAGGCCCACTGGCCTGCAGCCGCCCCACTACAAACCCCAAGGAGAGAGACTGCCACGGGGACCCTCAGGGCTGAGCTGCTGATAATGAAGAGAGACCAAGTCTGGGGATGTATCAGAGAAGAAGAAAGGGCACAAGATGTTATCCATTACGGAGGGCTCTCTGCCAGGGGAGCATCCCCTGAAAAGTGGGTCCCCGCTCTCTGGACTGGACAAGCACTGGACACACTGACCACTGGATGACAAATGCCTTCTTAGACAGGAAAGGGACTTGTTAACAAGTATAAGCTCTAGATTACATTTTATGTTTTTCTTTTACCTGTAACCTCATGTTTCCAAACCCTTTTCCTTGCTTTTATTCGAATCTGTAACTTGATCTCTGTTAAATAAACTGAAATCTGGTTTTACTGTAGACACGTCCAGGTGCCTTGTGTTGAACTGAAGCGATGCCAGTAAACTGGAGTGCGCTGCTTCCAGAGAAGCAGCGAATGGGTGTACATTGTGCGTGTGCAGAAGATAAGGGACTGGGCACTTGCGTGTGATAAGGTGGGGTGTGTAAATTGTAGCCCACAAAGGGAAAGAGTGGGGCTTGCAGTAGCCCGTGTAGGCCTTGCTGGATCCCTAGCATAACTAGCCGTGTGAACAAAGGCTGTGAACCAGAGCAGGCCTGGCCTGGGCAGAATAACAACACACTACGTGGGATTCTTCTTCTGTCGTATGGCGATAGTGAACCAGTAAAAGCAACGGCATGATTACAGTTGGATTGTAAGGTCTCTTATCCTATCCAGAGCCAAGGGGGTAGCCATGTGAATGGCTCTGATGCCTCCAGGAAGAGCATACATTGGACAGTCATCCATGATTTGTCTGACAGTTTGCACCACGCCACAGGCGCGGTTCGGCGATTCTCTCAATTCCATCTCTGGAGTAAGTATGCGTGTAGTGAGGTGGTGTGACCTCCCTCCGACCCAGAGAGGAAGGGACGACTGAGCCACCACTACAATGCGCATCTTCCATGTCGGGTGCGGACATGGTTTGGAGCTGGCCAGACGTGCCATGGGGAGCTGAAGCCTGGCACTTGCCCAGTTGGGTCATCGATTAGAGTTCGTTTGATGCATTGCAGCTTGGAAAAGAGATGGCGAAGGGGGGATATGATTGAGGTCTATAAAATCATGACTGGTGTAGAGAAAGTAGATAAGGAAGTCTTGTATTATGAGAAGTAGTAAACAACAACTAGGGCTAACCAAATGAAATTAATAGGCAGCAGGTTTAAAACAAATAAAAGGAAGTATTTCTTCACACAATGCACAGTTAACCTGTGGAACTCCTTGCCAGAGGATGTTGTGAAGGCCAAGACCATAACAGGGTTCATAAAAGAACTAGATAAATTCATGGAAGATAGTTTCATCAATGGCTATTAGCCAGGATGGGCAGGGATGGTGTCCCTAGCCTCTGTTTGTCAGAAGCTGGGAATGGGCGACAGGGGATTGATCACTTGATTATTCCCTGTTCATTCCCTCTGGGCCACTTGACACTGGCCACTGTCAGAAGACAGGATACTGGGCTAGATGGACCTTTGGTCTGACCCAGTATGACCGTTCTTATGTTGTGTTAGCTAACATCAAGTCAGCACGTTCCAGACTGGAGAGGGTGGTACAGAAACACACATCTGTCAGGTAGCTACATAAACAAATTCCCACAAGCTGGCACAGGAACGCACTGACCCCTTGTAAGATAAGGAGGGAACGGCAGGATAATGGGGAAGGGTGTCTTGTTTGAACTAGCAGGTACACGGAGAAGGGTGGTAACTCACAACATCTAGAGTGTGATACGTACCTTGTTTGTATCCATGTATAAAAGGAGAAGTCCTAGGAGGGGCACCTTTGTGCCAGCCTAGGGGACAGGATCCTGGTGTCCTGACTGACCCAGTGCCACTGGCGTGAGCCTACATGCTAGTGTACCTGTAACCACCGAGCCGGGGCGCTAGGACCATGCTTCGTCAACAATAACCCTGGCTGAGCACCTATGCCACCAAACCGAGCCTTTGGTCTTTCCTTATAACGACGTCGCAGTATGCTGAACGGGCGAGCTGCATTCCCTGCTAGCGCAGCTGGCACCAGCACTCCAGGAGCAGAAACAGGCCGCCACGCTCACAGCCCAGCATAGAGAACGTGTGGACTCTGCCCCTGGTAGCTTTGGGAGCTCGTCCCTGGTGGGCACAGACAGGACTCCCTCATGCTGTAACGGGGGGTAGCGATTCACCCTAGACACCTTGGGGACCCCCTCAATTGTCACACAGGCAGCCAGACCCTGGGCAAGTGAGAACAGAGGCCACTACTGTTGGGTGATGCCTGTGGGGTTTGGGTGTGTCTGTGCCTAGGCGTTGTGCTACGGGGATCAGTGCCCGGCGGGTACCTGAGCTGGATGGATGGGGATGTATGCGGGGAGGGAGGGAATGGCTTTACCCCTATGACTCCTCCTGACGCACAACCTGCCCTAAACAGGCTCTGTCTGTCTGTGCTTGGATTGTGTCCTTGGGGCAGGGACAAGCCGTATTGGAGTGTTCAGAAAGTGCCTGGCACCTGGTGGGGGGTGTGGTGAAGTGGGACTGTTCTTAATGTTTCCTCTGAATACTGTAGGGGTGCCTCAGTTTCCCCTATGCATTTCTTAAGTCTCTAGGTGGTGAGATAAGGGGGTGTAATTGTTGCAGAGCAAAGGGCCAGTGTGCATAAATGGCCAACACTCTGTCTCCTGGCAACTAATGGCCGGGGCCCTTCCCCCCTGCAAAGTGATAGCTAAAGGTGTTGGAGAACAAAGGAATCAGGTGACCTCCTGGCCCAGGAAAGGGACAAAGCCCAGAGGAGGAGGGGCTGGAGAGGGAGTCAGTTTGGAGCTGGCTGGGGACGAGGGGTGAGTGCAGACATGGGTGTCTGGCTCACTGCCCCCCAAAATGGACCCGGCTGAGGGGTCTTGTTCTCTGTATCTACAAGCTCTGTTTCAGATCGTGTTCCTGTCATCTAATAAACCTCTGTTTTACTGGCTGGCTGAGAGTCACGTCTGACTGCGAAGTGGGGGGGCAGGACCCTGTGGCTTCCCCAGGACCCCACCTGGGCGGACTTGCTGTGGGAAGCGCACGGAGGGGCAGAGGATGCTGAATGCTCCAAGGTCAGACCCAGGAAGGTGGAAGCCATGTGAGCTTCTTGGCCTGAAGACAGTCTGCTCCATGGGAGAGGAGACTTCACCAGAGTCCTGACTGGCTCCGTGAGGAGCAGTTCCAGAGCATCGCCTGGGGACCCTGTGACAGGGGGCTCCCGTAAATAATGGTAAAAACATGGTGTTACTAAATCCATTTCTTATCATTGCGGGAGGAGACTCCCAACCCCGAAATCCTTCCCACCCTTGGGTGCCCACGGCATCCTGCGGCCGCGTGTGTGAGAGAGAGGGACAGTCGGCTCCTTGGACAGAGCCTGTCCCCCTGTGTTGGACAGAGCCCAGCACAGAGCTGGTGCGAAGCAAAGGACTATTAAGAGGCTGAGTCGGCATTAGTTTTAATTACCGAAACACTTGGCTCCTTACGCAGAAGGTGGCTGGATGCCAGGTTAGGAAAGGCGGTGAGAACTTGCTCCAAACGCAGGCGCTGCAGGGCCGGGGCCTTGCAAACAGAGACATGGCTGGAAGCTCAAGCTCCGTGCCAGGCGCTGGGAGCTTGGACAAGGCGCTTGCTCCTGCGTTAACACTTGCTAGCACTCTTTCTTCTCACGTTTTGTACCGTTTGTTCTTCTGACAGCAGAAGCTGTGTGAGGCTCTGGTGCATTTTCAGAGGGCGCCAGGAGCTGTGCTGACGTGGGCAGCACTTATTAATATCAGAGTGAAGCTACAACATGATCAGGGCATTCTGCAGCTCTCCGCAGAACAGGCGGTGCTGGGTCCAACAGGAACTCATCAGGGGCTGGGGCTGTAGCCAAGTTGTGGGCTTTGAATGGATGCAGATTACACCAGTGCAACCCCCTGCGTGACACTAATTGGATCTCACCCTGGTTTATACTGGGGTATCTGAAACTGATTCCTGGCTGATTTAAGCCAGGCTTGAATTGAATTAGCAGTGTCCACGCAGGCATTTGTACTAGTTTCAATCAATATAAAACAGTTTTAGTGAAACTAGTGCAGCTTGTGGGTGGAGACCAGACCAAAAAGGGGGCCCAAGACAGTAGCGCTGATGGGGTGGAAGGGAGTGAATTTGCTCATGCTGCTGTGGCTTCAGCTGGAGAAGTGACGAGGGCTGTGTAGAGAAAGGTACATCCCT